GTTCCAGGGAAATCCAAATAAACAGAAACTCAACTTAGCTAATGCTGGGCTACAATACCTGTAGCAATACATGAGGTTATTTATGCCATAGCCTAAAGATAATCCCCTCTGTTATATTAAAATTATAATTTATTGATAGTTAAATTTACCTGTTGATCTCATAAAACCTTAACTTGTAAAAACCATAAATAATGTTTATCAAACATTATATATAACAATGAACTACTAGTATACATTACTAGATTTCACAGAAAACCCATCCTTATTTAAGTTTGTCCTTAAAGATGGGACAGTAGCTTGAATGGGCCCCAGGAGCGCTACATTTTTTTCACTATATGCCTTTGCTATCACTAATTATTTATGTACATCCTTAACTTTTACTAACATGTCTCTTTATCTGATGTTTTGCAGACTTAGAAATGTATGAAAAAAAGATTCTAAAAGCTTTTAAAGAATCATTAATAAATTATGTATTTATTAAATGATAGGGAGAGTTGATCCTTGAACAACACAGCTCCATTTGTATGTGGGTTTCTTTTTTTTTTTTTAATTTTTTTTAACATTTATTTACTTTTGAGACAGAGAGAGAGCATGAATGGGGGGAGGGTCAGAGAGAGAGGGAGACACAGAATCGGAAGCAGGCTCCAGGCTCCGAGCTGTCAGCACAGAGCCCAACACGGGGCCCGAACTAGTGAACCATGAGATCATGACCTGAGCCGAAGTCGGACACTCAACCGACTGAGCCACCGAGGCGCCACTGTGGGTTTCTTTTCAACAAATACAGTACAGTAGGGTAAATGTATTTTCTCTTCCCTATGATTCTCTTAATATTCTTTTCTCTAGCTTACTTTAAAGTTTATTTATTTATTTTGAGAGAGAGAGAGAGCGAGCAGGGGACGGGCAGAGAAAGAGGGAGAGAGAGGATCCCAAGCAGGCTCTGGGTTGGCAGCACAGAGCCTGACATAGGGCTTGAACTCATGAACCGTGAGATCATGACCTGAGCTAAAACCAAGAATCGGAGGCTCAACTGACTGAGCCACCCAGGTGCCCCTAGCTTCCTTTATTGTAATATAGTATATAATACATATAATACACAAAATATGTTAATTGGCTATGTTATTGGTAAGGTTTTTGATCAACACTAGGCTATTAGTAGTTATGTTTTAGGGGGAGTCAAAAGTTATAGATGGATTTTCGACTGGGCAGGGGGTTGGTGTCCCCTAATCCCTGTGCTGTTCAAGGGTCAGCTGTAGTTTGAACTCTGCCTGATTAAGCCATTTATATGTATGCAAA